TATCAGATGGAGTATAGAGTTGATATGACGCCAATCCGGGTGGAAGATGAATTGAATGGTGGCCGGTAGGGAAATATTAGCACATATTCAGCGCCAACGACACATACAACACAGCGCCGACGTCACATAGATACAGCGCCAACAACACACACGGTACAGCGCCAACAACACATACGACACAGCGCCGACGTCACATAGATACAGCGCCAACAACACACACGGTACAGCGCGATGTCACATTGATACAGCGCCAACGACACAAGGGACAGCACCGATGTCACATAGATACAGCGCCAACAACACACACGGTACAGCGCCGATGTCACATTGATACAGCGCCAACGACACAAGGTACAGCGCCGATGTCACACAGATACAGCGCCAACGACACATACGACACAGCGCCGACGTCACATAGATACAGCACCAACGACACATACGGTACAGCGCCGATGTCACATAGATACAGCGCCAACGACACATACGGTACAGCGCCGATGTTACATAGATACAGCGCCGATGACACACGGTACAGCGACGATGTCACACAGATACAGCGCTAACGACACACACGATACAGCGCCGATGTCACTTAGATACAGCACCAATGACACACAAGATACAGCGCCGATGTCACATAGACATAGTGCCAATGACACACAGATATAGCGCCAATTTTATACAGATGTATCGGCAAAGTGAGGTATTTGTGACATCGCAAATGTCATTAGACGCGTTTATGTACTACCAAATTTATTGCATTATTATTTTAATACGAACCTTTTACCCCTTGTTTCATAAATGCCTAGCAACACCCTCCACAAAATGTCATTATTTGTATGTGCCCAGATTGTCAAATTATATACTTTCCTCATAATACATAATGTATGTCGATTAGCTTGCATCCGATTTTACATGAATCCGCCATTTTATTTCGACTTACACAATACCCTTCAACCTAGATACATTGTACTCCTACTTGAAGCGTGCAAAGTGAATACAACAATAAGTACGAGCATCCTTCCTGTGTGCCCTAGCGAACCTGTCCTATCCCATCACTAGAGACAATGACCTACAACTATTTGGTCTACCATGTGTGCTCAAGCAAAGTCATTGATTTTTGACTGATATATCGTTCTAGTGAGGGCTTATTGTATAGAAAGCACTCCCGAGACCTACCCCCAGGGAGAGGAACCTACCCAAATACGACATGCATATAAAACACCCTCCCTACCCATTTCTCGGGGATGAGAAAGGGACCCTAGCGTGAGATGCATTAAACAGACCTTTCCAATCTAACTCCTGGGGTGAGACAGGGACTTGAGAGAATGATGCTTCATTCCCCTGTTTCATCCATTACAAGATTTTCTGGCACAACTGATCTTTAACGATGATTGGTAGGACAATAAGTACTGTTATGAGCCTTATGACAAACGATTCCATCTTAAGTAGATGTTTTGTTTGGAGGTGCTCAGAGGTGTGAGAAAAGCTTATAACCTTTAATAATCATTGATAATGGTGATGGCACGAGTTTCAGAGATCATCAGAGATCGGTCTTAACAAAGGTCAAAGGTCAACTGCCTTCATTATTGAATATCTTAAGAACCCACATGGTTTAGTGACCGGAAGACGGTAATTATGGTCATTGCATTATTTGCATGCAGTGACAGACTTGTAATTGACCACTGTCCGTAATCTTGACCATCTGACTTTGTTTACATACAAGTACAAACTGACCAGACACTCCTGACCATCATTTATTTGAAACATGCAAAGATCATGGACAAAGCCGTTTACCTCTTTGGTCATTTTCGGACATCCGGTTGTGGTCAGGCATTATGTTGACCAAGTTTCGATGAGTTGGTCAAAGACCGTGGTGTTAATAGATACACTGACCCTCTGCTCAGACATAAGTAATTATACTAGCGTCCATCTGGTCAGCTGGGTATGATTAGGAATAGCTTAGTCGGGCTAATGACTAAGCGAGATGACCGTTTGACCGGTCCACAGGGAAATGCGTTCGGTATATATTGTCAGCCTGTCCCTGACAGACACACTTGTCTGGGAGTTTATTTACGGCACATATATAATTTACAAATGTCACTGTGTTACTGACGAAATACGTTATGTGTTGATCCGTAAATTTGCAATAATTGATTGCGCATTGTCTACCGTTAAACCCTTTTGCCATGGGTGTCAGTTTCGGTGTGAAGGTTTGTCGTTTTGACATTAAAACTTTGGTTGCAATCGAATGGAAAACATGGGCCTCATGTTATTCTGTGTTTGGTAAACAATGCTTCACATTCCACATACAATACAAACAACTTGACTGAAAACAGATGACATACAATTCGAAATATCTATCTAAACTACAATATGTGTATATATACGTGTTGATCTATCTGAAATCTACAATATTTGTATACATGTGTTGTTCTATCTCAAATCTACAATATTTGTATATACATGTTATTCGGTATAAATGTCTACCTATCCCTTATTCGCTTTGAAGAAAAATTGAATTTTGGGCTATTTTTGATAAATTTATTTTCTTCTAGTTTTTTAGCTACAAGATCCTGAAATCATTGTAAAGTGTATGTATATGAGAATTCTAACGCCTGGCGAATTAATCTATAACAGATTTAAACAATTAAACAGAAAGTTATAATGAACATACAGTAGGAATACCTTCAAAAAGAATCTTCCGGAATACAAGTCACTATTTATTCGTAAAAACGAAAACATCGAGACCCATTAGGAGAACCTCGCGGAGTGTAGACCTTGGAAACAGAAGGAAAATCAAAGCCTCGACCACCATGAGGAACAAGTTATTTAATAGGACGTAAAAGTAAAACTGCCAGTCGAAAGAATAAAAGTTCTTTGATAAACCAATTACTATTGCTTAAATATGATGTCAACAAATTAATTACGAAAAAATCAGGTAAAAAGGACACATGGATCAGTAACCATGGCGGTGTTCCTCATGGTTTCTTACCATACTTATAATTACTTTTGATACATATAAGTAATGTACAATTTATCCAGTATACTTGTAAGTAATAATACATATTGTATTGAATAAATGTACTTGTTTAGTGACCTTGTTGAGACATATGTTACTATTAAATTGCTGTGATTTTTTTTATCAACTCATATTGTGACTTTTAACAACATCATACTATCAAAATAATACAGATGTACTGATGTTGATAGATAACATAGTCATACACTGAGATTAACCTTTAACGACTGGTATCATTTGCTACAGATGCCGACAAAATCATCAGAACTTCGTCGTAAGCAAATAAATCTGCTATAAACATGTTACCTTGGAAAGACCTGCCATATTGGCATGGTCGAATCTGTGTAAACTGACCTAAAAAACTGACCTAATTACAAATGGGATATAAATATGTTGTATCACTTTCGAATAAATCCGTTGATCTGGCAGGCAGATTACCCTGGCAAGCAAACGCTCCTGCTGTCCGAAAGTTGAAATCTTCCAGGAGTTGTTGATAAGTTACTTAACATATAACGTATGTTTTCAATCAAACTGAAAGCTCTATCATATTCTATCTCTTGGCATTGCTTTCAGATATGTCTCAGATCGTTTTTTTTTCATTGTATATACTTTGAGGTTTGTTCGGAATCCTTATACATTGAAGTTTTTAAAGAGTTTTAAACGAGCATAATTTTCCACTTATAAAACGTTAAACAAATAACTAGTGTTTTTTTATAAACTGTGGTGATTGATGATTACACACATATTGCTAACACAGATTCCGAAACTGAATAGAATCTCATTGGAGTCATATACAGTTAATTAACATACTAACTGTTTGGTACCTGACCGCCTTTCCAGCTTATACAAACGTTATCGGCAGAGGTATTCCGAGATGCAAGTGTTAGATCTCCCGCCATTTTATTCCTATTTCGTGCCTGCGGGGGAGTAAATAGATCTGCAACATCACGTTCCCTCCCAGATCTCTTGACATGGCTTGGGGGTCTGTATTTCGTCCTTGATATTATCGTGTCGAGAGAAGGATTTGTAACTATACTATCCCCTATATCTTATCAAGAGGGGCTATTCTAGGCTTGACACTTACGATGGTAATTTAAACAAACCAACCCGAGCACAGAAGCATTTACACGTGTTAGTTATGTACTAGCTGTTAGTGGGTAGTGTTAGGAATATATACAGTGATTCCGCTGAAAAAAATCAATGAACCGATATAAATGTTGAACCCTGAACGCTTATACATATTAAAGGGAAATAATTCAGAAAAATGTCTCTTCTGTACGGAGACCTAAATTACAAGTTCTATATTTCTTTATTTATCTTCAAGGCTATTGTTATCTGAACCCCGAAATAGGAGTGGCTTTGAGAGAGTCCCTCAGAAATACTATCCGACGGACTTTGATCTGAAGTGAATCTGAGAGTGTCCCTCAGAAATACTTTCCGATGGACTTTGATCTGTATCTTGACTCTGTGAATAAGCAAAAGATATCAGTACTTTTCAAAACAACCTAGAACACTGATACATGTTGAATTATTCATCATATAAGACCAGTTTTCGTTTGTCTTCAATATCCAGTTGCTAAATAACAATAACATTCTCCGGAATCTCATACGCCTCCGCCTTCCGTAACACATTAGAGTTTTCATTATTATCCGTAATAACGACGACTTCAAGGCTATGTTTATCTATTTTGTCGCGTCCATGTTTAACTTGGCTCGAAATGTTTCCAAATGTCGAGGGTTCATCTGTGTGTGGTTCTAATTAAAAAATGTACAAAAGATACAAGTGAACGACATTTAAATAAAATTTTAGAGTTAGATACCGTAGAGAATGAAAAAAAGGAATTAAACTGCATCATACAGCTGTTTCATTTTTTCTAGGACTCATCAGTGATGTTAATGACCTTAATTTTGAAGCCTATGAAGGGGCTGAACTTAACACGTTTTTTTTTCTAACGAATAGTAACGTGATTGTTTACAGAGTTACCTCAAGCGCTATGGATATCTCAAGGGCGCAAGCACAGAATTGACACAGAACCTGATGTCACAGGAAGATCTCACAGACGCCATCAAGAGGTTACAAAGGAAAGGCAACTTAAGTCCGACTGGAATTGTGGACCTGCGGACGATTGCTTTGATGAACAGAAAGCGATGCGGTGTCCCGGATGAAGATCAGTATACGGAAGACAATGGACGACGCCGGAAACGTTATGTCTTATCGCATTCATCGTGGGATAAAAAAGATCTAACTTACAGGTACGTGGTGTTGTGATCTTACAAATAAACAATGAACTGTATTGTTCTGGCATTTACGGTCTTTATGAATGCAGGCCAACATACCATATTTTGCGATGACAGCTCCATGCATATTTCTACCTTTATTATGCATTTTGTTGTACCAAATGTGATTTATTTCCTATCGAACAGCCATGTTGACGTTGTACCGTCGCGAGTTCCATCCTCACAAATATGACGTTGCAATGATCACGTGCTGGCTTCCTGTTGTTTTTTATGGTTAGTTTTTACAAATGCTTTGCCGTGCAAATGTAAATATTGCATTTTACACCAGTCAACATTTGCGTAGTAAAACAATTGTTTATTTACAGAAGCTAGGGGGAATCAAGCTTATACACGAAACAAAGAGGGGAAAATAACATTCGTTATACAATAAAGAATTACGGAAGTAAACATGATTGGTAACCCTCTGGCACACTGACATACACGCTCGAAGGTGATTTGACAAGTCGCCAGCAACAGACGCTAATCCAACACGAGGGTCGTTAGTAATACGTACGGATGTATTGGTGAAAAAGAGAGGGAGATGGGGGTGACTACAAATAATATATGTATATTTTGTACTTGTGTTTTCAGATCTATTCTTCTTTTGATATTATATTCTATAAAGCTATTGCAATCTAGTTCTTTTACTGTAATAATACAAGGTCAATGCGTGCTTGTACTTACTTCTTACTCGACAACGCCCATCGTATTTTGCCAAGTTTTTTCTTTGAGGCACGTTTGTAATAAGTATGGTAAAGCATGATAGATTTGTAGGGGATTAATATTTTCGACCAAATCTTCGGTTCGTTTTGTCTGTTAGTATTTTAAATCACGCTCGTGTGTTAATCATTAACGAATAGATATGGACATCAGTTCGTGTGGTTAAAATTTTAGAGCAGTGCACAGATACATCATTTCAGTAATTGGGGACGTCTTCATTGTTCCCTTGTTTGGAAACCGGCTGTGATCGATCTGTTTTCAAATCATCCCGCACAAACTTTGGCTAAATTTTATCATTTAATGGACGAATATTGAAATTTTAGCTAATATCGACAGTTGTATGTGTAGCATTTTGAATACTTGATTTACATGCAGAGTACATTTATTTATGTAATAGGTTTTCAAAGTAGGAAATAAGCTGCTTTCAAGCGTTGAAATTGCATTTGTATGTCATGTTAACAGGTGGATGGATAAAATGGAATCCATCCTTGACTGGTATACAAAATAGTAGGATACACATGTTTATAACTATCGTAAAATGGACCCATCAGGTAACAATCTGATGTTTTAGTTTATTCTTCAGTTCGTATAGTAATCAAATTAAAATTACTACATTAAAGCGTTAAGAGAGGCTATTTCATGGACGTCATTTCCTCTCGACTTCGTTTTAATTTTTGATGTGTGCTTACTTATGGTTAAACTGCGAGTCAAAGTACCATGCCAGTAGGTCTACTCCAAGGTGAAATATTGACGTCGCCCCTTTTCTACAATAAATGCTTTTTTTCTATCGATAAACAGTTAATTATACCACAAATTTTGTGTGAAAATTTGTATTTTAATATGGTAGTTTTCCCTATTCAATATTCAATATTGAAAGTTAGCCAGTCACACTTTGAAATCTTGTAGGTTTACGTTTTTGGAGTTTTACATTCTTGAAGACCTTTGCTAATTGAGTCTGTTAACATAAGTACATAATACCATCAAACTTTCATTTCCGGTCTTTAATTTGGGATTTGCACCAATTAACTCGATACGTGACTAATTCCGCATTTCAGTGTGTTCTCGATCTTCTGTGATTCAAATTTGGAATTACATTTTTAGTTGCCCTTTGTCGATAGAAACAACTTATCTCCCTTTACTGTATGTTTATGTATAAAACAAGCGTTCCATGTGCCTATACACTTTGTATCAAGTCTCCTAACTAGTGCACGTTAATGATACCACTCCAATTAAGACTGCGCCCAAACCCTTAATGGACTCCTGTGACACAAGGGTCGTTTTCCTCCCTACTGTTCCTTGACACACATTCCGCCTGTTAACGAGGTGGGTAGACCCCGGTAACGGAAGTCGTACCGGCCGTATCCAGCCTCGACCAACAGCTGGTCCAAATCGGGCTGTATCGGGGACACGGGCGGTGGTGGTATGAGAAAGTTTTGAAGTTTTCTTCGCATTGCAGTCCCGCAGTGACGGCTGTGTTACGGTGCCACTGTGGGTGTTGGGTTTCATACTTTGATATGTACATCTGGATATGTGCTGTAGTCGACTAGTCGCCATGTCTCTTCTAGTTCCTCGATATCAGTGTAACGGTAGGGCTGTGGTACGTAAGTAGATTTCGAGTGTCACTCCTGTTAAAAATACGGACGACTGGACATTGGACGAGTTGACAAATTGCCAGGATTGTCTGTCCTTGTTCTGTGTGGTTGTGGTGTAGTATTTTGACATCACAACCTGCATGAATGAGGGCGGACGACCGGCCATGGCAGCCATTAGCACGTGCTCGGAAGTTAGCAAACACCTCGTCACTGGAAGATCCAAGAAATAGTCAAACTGTATGACTAGATAAAATTGTTACGTCACTGATGCTTTGTTACATATCCATGGATTTTTGTTTTGTTTTATGGAATATACGCACGTGGTTTAAATCCTGGTGGTTCTTTTTGTTGGTTTTTTATGGCCACGTGGTAATGTTTGTGATCTATGTCTGATCATGGTAACCTAATGGCATTAGGATCTGGCGATACATTTCATTGCTACGGATGCTTGCATCATCTCCTGGGATGTCTTAGTTTTGTTGGAGGTGTAATGCCATTTTGTTGAGCGTTTTGGATGGAATGACAATTGTGCCTTGGTTTGTAGAGTGGCAAAGATTAACAAAACAATGTACATATCATGTCGGAGTAATTTACTTTGGCAAAGGATGTGCTTACGTTTTGTGTGTATATATACAACGAGGGTTTCTATGGAATGGTTCGGTTACGTTTGTTTTGTAATAGCTTGGGTTCAGTAATGTTGATTTACTGACACGATCGAGTCCCTGCTCTCATTGTAACGTCATTAGTTCTATAATGCTGAGTAACATTCCGATGTTGGTATTAGGTCTGTGGCAGCTCTCTCTCTCTCTCTCTCTCTCTCTCTCTCTCTCTCTCTCTCTCTCTCTCTCTCTCTCTCTCTCTCTCTCTCTCTCTCTCTCTCTCTCTCTCTCTCTCTCTCTCTCTCTCGTAATATCAAATTTAACTTGTGATATGATGAGTGTTTTAATGAGACTTCTATTGGTATGGTATGTTTTAGCTAACATTTTCATCTATTGTACAATATACATGTGTTCTAGTTCTGAAGATTTGAATACACTGCTTATATAGTACGTTATATAGATACACGTGTGGTACCTCCAAGTACCTATATATAGAAGTTTTATATAGACACATAAAAATAACAAAAACGTCTTTTTAATCTGTAACATTTTAGAATTTCGAGGCGATAGTAATATTGAACGAGGGCATGTTAAGAGTACTTTTGAAGAGTTAGGAGTAGATTTAGAACACCATGGGTCTTAACAACAACCATATGGTTCAAATTTTGACAAGAGCAAGGTACTCATACACGAGAAGTGGCAGTTACTGGAGCATCAACTATAATACACCGCGTTTGGCCGTTCCCTTGTGCTGGCTTGGTGAGGTAACGACTTGAGCAGGAGAAACAGGGAACGGATCCATGCTTACATGTCTGTTTGAATCCACCATTAGCTTTACGTTTGGCTATTTTTATATTCATTGCATGACGAGACAATGCCATGTTGTTTGAAGTAAAGGCACATTTGTAGGAAGTTAAATGGAAAACCAAGCCTAGGAATGTCCGCTCCTTCATTGGGGTCCAACATAGCCTCCTATTTTTCATGTTTTCATATGAGACTTCCATGTGTTACAAAAGGCCGTTCAGTGAAAGCTTTTCATCGAGAAATCTCGGTAGATAAATGTTCGTATATATTTATTTACATATTGCACAACGTTGGTATTGTGACGAAGGTTTTTTTCGACTTTCTCAAAATCTAGGCCAGCGTGTATATTTTTGCCTAGACTTATGGTATTAACTCCCATTCCCTCGCCTGTGTAACACGAGATGCACGCACGCTATCTAATCTCACATCTCACATAATGATCTAAGGAAGTACTTATCGTCATGGCGAGGTCACGTGGTTCATATCACGTGTCTCGGAGGACTCAAGTTTCACATTACATAATGACCAATAAGTTAAATCTAATAAATGGTACGCTCTTCACTACCTTTCCCAGATTTTATAATGAAGAGTATTCTTCAGGTTAACCTGTGTTTCTGTATCATCATCATTATTACGCGGTGATGTTCATTCAAACGTTTAGATGACACCGATCAAACCCGATAGTGACGTCAATGAGTCACCGATCAAGTTCCGATTTCCAATTTGTATTACATTAATACTTAAACAAAAGTTGACGGAAACCAGTGTGACATTCTATTCAAAACACACTTCACAAAACACGCTATGTTGACAGCATTTTATGGTAATTTGGCAGAAAAAGCTTGGCTTACATGAATCGCTTTTTACCGCTTGTTCATAACGTCATCGTGCCATTCGTTGCTAAGTTACAAGGATAGGCTGTTCACATGGTTACAAACTTAATGTTTCATTAAATGCATAACAGATCTTGCATGTGATGAAAATAAGCAACAAGCATTTTTCGTAAAAAATGCCTCTTTTAAGTATTTTGTTTTTAACAACAAATTCTATTGTTTAAATATATGAGAGAATTCACGACACAGTACAAAGAATACCGCTCTATCTTTGTAGATCTTTAAACATTGATTGTATCCGAAACGCAATTATATATACAGATATCTTAAAAAGAAAATCAGCTTTTATATCCTTAATTACTAGCTCCTACAAAGTAACTTGAAAAGTTGCTGATATGTTGTTACAGTCCTCGTAAACTGTTTAACTT